CAAGTAAATGTCATGATCGGAAGACTTAAATGCTGAAATGCTGAGCCCATCACTTGTAAATGAGTTTCTGACAAATCATTTGCCCTATGTAAATAATCAATAGCTAGAATATCCATCTTCAACTTGAACACAAGCCAGTAAATTACAGTACTGTATGTACCCTGGACTGACAGGGACACAGCACAAAGCGCTACAGAGATTCTCTTTCATTCCTTCTGTTATGTGGCTACCAGATCTCCAGTGGTACAAAGGTTTTCATGTTTTAGAGTTGCCTGTTACCATTCTCTTGTGAGCAAACAATTCTATAAATGCAGCCTATGGATATAATTGTATTTAGTGCAGCTAATAGAAAAGGTGTTATTTTAGAATGGAAGCAGTGAAGCTGGAAAAGCAATCATTTACAAGAAGAGAAAATCAGCAGACTTTTAAAATTCTGTTCTGTAACTAAAACAGCTTGAAGTCAAGAATCCCAATTAATTCAATTCCAGTGTTCTGTTTAAAGACTGAATCCTGAAAACCTGGCCAGAAAAAATAGTGTATATAAAGTGTATATACAGAGCCTAGTGAAAGTATTCACCCCCTTCCAATTATGTATGTTTGTTGAATAACAAATGCTGTATACATATTTTAAAGAGAATATTTTAATTAAAACTTGAATGCTCAACCTGAAACTTTTTATGGGTGAAAGACTTTAAATTTGTCAACAACTACCAAGAAATATAAATCTAAAATATAATTATTGCACCCAGAATCAGCACTGGTGGAAGCCCATTTAGCAGTGATTACGGCCAAGAGCCTTTTAGGATAGTTCTACCAACTCTGCACACCAGGATGGTGCAATTTACACTCATTCTTTGTTGCTCCAGCTCAGTGACAGGTGTGTCTATTCTGATATAATGTAGTGTGAACCACTATTACTGCACACAGGCGAACTAAGTTGTACTAAACTTGCCATTTTTAAAAGTCATTTTGTGCCTCTGAACCAGTTTAAGTTTGCCATACCAAAGTTTTCATTATTTATTTATTTATTTTTATTTTTCTTGCCAGTTTATGTAGACATTTAATGTACAGTATTTCATCCATAAAAAGTGTTTAGTTTGAGCAATTAAGTGTTGCTGAAAAAATGAAAAATATTTGTTTTAAAAATGTGTATGCATCATTTCTTATTCTATAAAATGGGACCTAGCCTAGGTCTGGTGGTCTCATGGATCTGTACACATAAAAACTCCACAATGACAATGAAAGGTAGTACAGGAGTCTGTATTGAAGGCTTGTTAAAGTTTCACAACACAAAGTTAAAAAAGTATTTGAGCCCCCCTCCCTGTATGCATGACCTTTTCATTTCAAACAAAACCAAAATCACTCCCATACGAAAATGTGTATTTCTATACCCATCGCCAATTATCTAATAAATAATTCTCACCTAGTGTGGCTATTTACAAAAATTACAGGCCCTTAGATGGCCTCTAGTGGCAGGCTAGTTGAACTGACATTAAAAGTTCTCATAAAAATATACCTGCTTGCATTAATGTGTTACAGTTGCATAATTAATAATTAGTGGTGAAAATACAATTAGGATGTTTTGTGAAGATTTTCAATGCACGTTCTGCTTTTTCAGACTGTCGGGAATGGTAAAAGAAGATTTTAACTTTGCTAAAGGTGATGAATAGCCCAACCTTGCTCATTATGTTCAAAAAACATTAAAGCTTTAGAAAAACCTAGGCTTTGGGTTCTAACTGTTCTTAGTTAATTGGCTCTGTGGGTAGTTAAGTTTATGAGGATTGTGCTGTAGATGTTTATAGAATTATTAGCCTTCACAACATACATTTTCACTTAACATTAATTATAACTCTACGGAATACAATCATAAGCCAGCAACATGGCTGGGTATCTTCTTTCAGTCTCACTCAACTCATTGTGTAAAAATGTATGTTCTGTTCTCCTGTTTTGAACTCTGTAATGTCTAACAGATAAAAAAAAACAATATTTAAAACAGTGCGTTCTTTAAGGGAAACAAATGCAAATCTTTTTGCTGAATATTGTAAAATGATTATCACATACACAAATCTCTCATACATATGATGTGATGACAAAAGATAACCAAATTACAATTCCTAGTTTAAAAGTGGCACTTCTAGTCCTACTGCAAGAACAGACTACAGTCTTATGACAAATCACCACGTCAGAAAGGCCATACCACAGATAAGAGTCCATTGAGCACATATAGCTCAATTTCTCTGATTTCCCACAGTCAGTGGTGGGACTTTTAACTCGTTCAATATGAAATCCCCATGAATCCCCACCCAGAAAGAGTCAACGATGAAGTAGTAAATCATGACAAGCCAGTCTGTCTTTGAATGTGCAAGGATGCTCTGCAAAAACCTATACCAATCACAGGGGAAACATGCAAACTCCACACAAACTGACTCCCTGAGCTGGAATCAAGCCCAGGTTGTGTGGCAAAAATGTTAAACACTATGTCACCCCAATCAAGCCCTTCTCAAGATGTTATCCTGAGGGAGGTTTACACAATGAATTGTATTACTTTTATTAGCACTTCTACTTAAGTACATTACCCAGTAATTATTAATACTTAGCGGGAATGTAAAACTGGAGGATGAGATCTTTGTCGCCATCTGCTGGTAGTCTAGAACTACAGTGCCGGCTGAATCAATCGAGTACTTGATATTTTTGGCATTAAAACATCACAGGCTGTTCTCAGCTTTCTGTTATTTATTTTATAAGGTTAGTGCCTTCTTGAAATATATCTCGATAACCTTGCTAAGTTTCTTGGGGCTCTGCAGCCTCATGGGTTTGGGAATAAAAGTGTCAAAACAGAAAAACATGCTGCAGAGAATCCCGTAAAGAAAGCGGTTTGCGCCGGTATATCTTTAATGCACTGTGTGTGTTTGTCTCTGGAACAGCAACTATGTTATAATTAAAGTATGCCATTATTCTGACCAAATTCTACTGCTGTAGTGAGAAATACGACAGTATTAAGCTTTGAAAATGTTGACGAGGGAAGGTTTAAGCGACTACTGCCTCCTTGTGTCCATACGGCTACAACTGCACAAATGATGTCATTATTTTTATTACAATTCTTGATAGTTTACTACCTTAAATAGTTAACAGTCTTTATTAATAGATGCAACTACAATTTTAGCAAGCTTATTTGAAGATACAACATTTCAACATTTTCGTCATTAAAATCCTTGGATTATAAATAATAATTCTTTACATCTATATAGCGCTTTTCTGGACACTCAACTCAAAGAGCTTTACAGGCAATGGGGACTCTCCTCCACCACCACCAATGTGCAACACCAGTACACTCATCTACTAGCAGTGGGGAAGAGAAAAGAGTGATGAAGTCAGTTTATAGATGAGGATTATTAGGAGGCCATGATTACTAACCCCCGCCTAGTATTTTTAATTACCACACTGAGTCAGGTCATTTTTACATCTCATCGGAAGGACGGCGCTTGCCTTTTAACAGTATAGTGTCCCTCTCACTGTACTGGGGCATTAGGACCCACACAGACCGCAGGTTGAGCTCCCCCTACTGGCCCCACTAATACTTCTTCAATAGCAACCGTGGATATTCCAGGAGGTCTCACATCCAGGTACTGGACAGGCTCATACCTGCTTAGCTTCAGTGTTTTGCAGGGTGATATAGCTCACTCACAGATATAAACTCACTCCTTAAATCCTACCTGAGCTAAATGAAATTCTACCTATAAAAAAGGTTGTAGGCTTAACTTGATTGTGGTAGACAATGCAGGTTTCTTTGTTAGTGATGTTCACTGTTAGGAGTGTAAGCCTTAATATTTGCCCTTTAAGAACCTAATTTTAAAACTATTTTCTGTTTTTAACAACCTGCTTTTATATGGGAATAAAATGTATTCCCGATCAAACAAACGGGAAAACTAAAACAACAAGCATATTTTAAGAATCAGAAGATTCCGAAGATACTTTATGTATAAAGTATTTATCATTGGTTGTGCCCAGGGGTGAAGCCGGAATTTTCCAATTTCCTTCCCCCACACAGCGATTATTGAGAGAGTGTTATAAAATACTGTACTTGCAGGGATACAGTTAGTGTTTGATAGGAACAAACTCTTGTTTATAACGGAAACACTAACATCTCAGTCTAAGAGCTTAAAAGCAGCCTCAAAATACTAGTCTTACGGGTGTTGTACTCCCACGTTTTATGTTGCTAGGAATTATTCAAAATATTACTCTAACAACCCGCCCACACGTGCATTCAAATCACTGTAGCGCTGAGTAGAGAGAAAAATAAAACTGCACTTCTGTCCTTAATAAGTAGGCGCTGAGATAGTGACTTGGGCAGCTCACGGATGCGATAGGCTATCTGATTAGTTATAACTGAGATTACAAATGGAATATGCAGAATATTTTATTATTTACACAGAATAATGGTCAATAGATTTTGCATGTCAGAATTCGGTGTTATATTTGCCAATTTGAAGCGTAATATTGAACTACATTAGGCTTAAGATTATTCATCAATCTGTGGTTCTTTATGTTTTTGTGGATATGCTCAAATTCACATTAAAATCTTTTTTTCCTTATTGTCCGCGAATTAACGAATTATACGTTCAGGTGGGTAGCTGCGTCAGCATGCGTAGGCTGCAATGGAACAAGTAATAGGTTTATTCCATGCTGGAAAAAAAAGAAGAAGCCTTCTTCAGGTGTCACATACACACACACCTGAAGAAGGCTCCAGGGCCGAAACGTTGTGTTTTCTTTCTTCTTTTTTTCAGCATTGAATAAACCTATTACTTGTTCCTGAGCTAATTATAATACAAGGATAAAACCGCCTCGGTTTTGCCTCTATTCACTGTTGTGGGTCCCTTTTGCCAGGACAATGACATAAAAGCAATTAAAGCTACAAAAGCACAGCTGCATATGTAATGTATGACATACTCCAAAAGTCCCTTGCATTCAGTTATAAATTACGTTTCCATTCTAGGGGCGCTGCGCTGCCTAATGACATTCACGGACGTTTTGCGTCGAAGCTAGCGCCCTTTGGTAAACCCAGAGATGCACAGTTGCGCTTCTGACGCGAGCCGCCCGCTTTTCACGTAGAGACGGTCGCGGTCTCCAAGCTCGTTTCTATGAACCTCCTTTAAACAACATGGCGCCAGTTTGCAGCTGGGCAGCTGTCGATTGTAGCGATAAAGCTGTTTGTTAAGGCATGGCAATAGCCACATTCTGTGTAACCGCTGTTTCCGAATACCTGGAAAGGCAGCTTTTAAGGTGACTAGTCTTCCTTCTTGCTCAGCCTGGTGAGGATTTAGCGCTGTGCAAGCGGCAGCATCTTTCAGACTTGCGATGACAGGTTGCGAAGACTCACCTGCTTAGAAAGACGAAGAGAGACGTTTTGCTGTTATCTCTCGGAGTGACTTAGGCTAATGGTAGTGGCTGATCCTGCTGACTCGAACCTGGAAAGAGATCGTGCTATCAAAAGTAAAAGACAAGTTCACCAAAATGCAATATCGGCAGTCGCACGGTTTAAACAGAGCGAGACTTTTCAACAAGTCTTTCCAGGGTTGAAACATTGCCGTCAAACATGAATGAGGACACTTTTTATTCAGTTTCTCAGGAAGGAAAAGGACGAGAAATGCTGCCCCCAATCCTGAATGCTTCAGCTTCTGGGGTGAGTACAGTAGTTTTGTTCTTTTTTTCTTTCCTTTTTGTTCTGTGATGTATTTCACCTTGAATGTTCGAAAGGGGAATAGCGTTTGCGAGTAAAGTCCTCTCGTTTTCAAAAGGTAGCCTAAAGATAAATAACTAGAGTTGCGTTTCTCAAAAATGCATTATTGAGTGTTTGTCTTTATTTATGGGTGGATTTTTTGTTTTTACTCTACAAGTGCAATTACTGATAAATTTCCCGTAACGGTTTTTTATATGACTATGTAGATGTGTTTTGAACTTCATGATTTGATTTGTTTAATCTATGTATATTCTATGTATAAAAAGGTTAACAGATCAGAGATTGGAGTAATATTTAGGTCCTATTGCAAAAAAGGTACACATTTTCAAACTAAGAAATTCATGTGGATAATAATGCTGCATACTACATTTTAAAAGTAACTTTGGAGTATGCAGTTATATTGAAAATGATTAGATGATTTTTTTTTCAAATAAAAAAAATTAAAAATGCCATACACGTCATACTATTTAAAATAAATAGTTGCATCTTCTGGGATGTGAATCTTGATACGTTTTACATTTAAATTGGACTGTCCGAAAGAATGACTTTGTGTATTGACAGCAGCGTTTGTTCCCGTTACCATTGTGTATCAGTGGCCAGTTAATCACAATACTCCCAAGACCCGTCACAGCTATCGCCACAGCTTGGAGTGAAGCAGTCTCACCCATCTCAGACAGAGCCCTTTATTCCATATTAAACCCACACACCTGCTTAACATACAGTACTTTAACGTTCTGGCGTTTGTCAAGCATTTTAACATTGTTAACATTACTTCATTTTTAAATTTAATTAAATTGTAGGTTAAAAACGATCATTTGGACGTGTTTACCAGTTTTTAAAAACGTAAAGGACCTATTGAACTGGAAAGAGTAGTTACAGTATGTTTTCTTAATACTATTGGACCAAGGAACACAAAGGAGAACAAAGATTCAGAAAAAGCATTACTTATGTGGTGTGTTTTTGGAATATATAAACTGTGGCTACTGAAACTTAAACCATGGCAAAATCAATTATTTCCCAGCGTTTCACACCTGGAAGATTTCATTTTAATTCTGATTATTTCAGAACTGATTTGACAGACTTAAATAAACTGTTTTAAAATTCACTATTTTAATTAATAAAAAAAGATTTTACATAGTTCAAGGAAAATACACGAGGCAAGGTTTTAACACTAGCATTTAAGCTCTGAACAAAACTTTTACTGTACTGTGAATCTGTTTTGCTTCGGAGTTCATATTTTGAAAAGGAGAAAGGTGAGATTTAGTTGAATAACGTCAAAGCAAACTTAACTGTGTCAGATGATGCTAAATACTTCAAATATTTACTCCATGCTTTCTCTGTTACTATGGAATTCTGTTTACTTTATCAAAGCTGTTGAGTGATTTTGGAAACTTCAACCCGGTATAAAACACTTCACTGGCAGGAAGGTTTAGAGTAATAGATAACCAGCAGTCCTTGTTTGACTGGTACATTTGATTTGAAGACTATACATAGTAAATATTCTTTTACACATGCCATTTTCTTGGAAGACCTGGCTATAAAATTAAAGTTGAATGGTTTAAATTTTAAACCGAGATTTTTGTATTAAAGTAATACTCACTTTTGGCATTTAACCTAACACTCCATAAACGGTAATAGAATTGTTTTTTATATATATGACCACATTTTCTTTTATGCACCTTGTGATGCTTTGGAAAAAGCTCTTAAAAAATTCTATTTTGACTTCCGTGAATCTATTTATTTGATCAAAATCAGTGTTTTTATGTCCATAAAGTGAAGCTCAGTCATCTTTCCTGAGCGTGCTGGAATCTCGGAAAAAAATGTCTTCTTAAAATACCTGGTATCTAAATTACTGACGTCCTTATAGTTAACAGAAGGATATATTTTTAATGGAAACAATTCTTCAAATTTGCACTTAAGTGCATTTCAGCTGTAATAGGGATAAGCTGGAAGTGAATTAACAAACCAGTGGGACACATAATTTTTTAGACTTTAAGTCATGTCTGGAAATGTCATAACTAGGTTTCCACTTATACAAGTTTTTTTTCTAGTAAATACAGTTTAATCTTCACAAAGTAGTAGATCAAGGAGAGAAACTTGGAAACACAACATATTTAAACCAATGTTAGAATGAGATAAGCTTAATTTTTCCACAAACTCTAAGGTGACACTTTAACTTAATTTGGCAAGATTTAGCATTAGGCGTGTGGAGTGATGCAGAGCCGTTTTCATCCAGCAAGCTAAGTTTTATAAAGGAAATGTTGTAATCTGGTGGACAGGAGCCACACCAAAAATACTGAAAACATCAGTCTGCTGTGCATAATTAGACTGTACAGAAGGACTGATTTTTCAGCCTGAAAGGTAGTTTCTGGTGTGTATCCGAGTCTTCTTCTCTGACCACGCTGGCATCTTGTCAGTACTAAGCCATAATTTATTGACTGGTCCAAATAAATAAATATGATTTTTCACTGAATGGGAATGAAAAACCATAGCTGTAATGGTTACATTTTTTTTCAGAATATAGTCAGAAACTACTACAGATCTGAAGAGGTCTTGTGGACAACAACTGTTATAATTTTATTATTTTAAAAGTAAGGAGTTGGTTTTAAGTTCCATGTGGTGACCTGAGCATCTACTCAGAGGCTTTGTAACTTTATTAAAGGCATTATTTCTGCAATGTATTTAATTGATATCTGGCTTTATAAATTTTACAGAGAGACGAGGAAGGGCTGTTTTCGTCTGAGTTACTTTCACACTCGGTGTCTCATTTTCTGATGGTGTTTATTGTAAGCTTATCATGAAGTTAAAGGAGGATAAATAGTAGTTTTACAAAAAGTAACATCTAGCAATTTAGAAAATGGTAAAATAAAGCGTAACACAGTAATTTAACAGGAGGAATGTAAAAAAAAACTTTGTTTCTGCTATAAACAAAGTCCTGTTTTACTGACGTACTGTTTTAAAGGGAAAGAGTGACCAAGTGCAATGATTATCCTATGAAGGGAAGTGTTCTCCACGTGGTTTTAGTAAAGGGAAAGGAGCCTTGTTCCTTCATGTCAGCTGTTTGGCATATGCTTAACTTTATTTTCCATATGCCTTCAACACTGTCCAACCTGTCAAAGTGTCAAAGCCTGCTGGTGGACTTGAGACACTCAGCTTATCCTGGCAAAGAGTCCATGTTTACTGGTAACAACCGAGATAGAAAATCTTATATCCCACGTGAAAGCCCCCAGTTCAATTGGATTCTTTAAAGTATTGGGTCTTTAAAGTGGCATTTTTTAATAGACACCTAGAAAGGTCAAGGTACTGTACAGTATACACTGTCTTACTCTCTTTTGTATCAAGACTAGCTCGTGTGTATCACACCTATTTGTTTCTTAAAATTAAACATTTCTGTAGCTGAATGTACGTTTCAAAAGAATGTCCTGGCTGCAAAATATTCTGGGCCATATGTTTTAGAAAAAGCAGTATTTTCCAGCCATTATAAAAACCACTGGGCAGTGATTCCGCATGGTTTTTGAAACGTACTTGTTACTTAGGACTTTTACGTGGTACGCAATGTGATTTCTCATGAGGAATGTTGCACCAGGTTATATTTTGATCTCACCAGCTGGTGCAGGGTGTTATGAAAACGATTGCCCTGTGTTCCTGGCAGTGCTGAGGAATCAGTGACAAACCTGTCTGCACCATTAATCCATTGCTAAAGTTTCTACATCGCCTTATCAAATTGCAAGGGCATGTGTGCTGTAAATCACCCCTAAAAGATCTAAGGTACTCCAGGAAATCCGTTAGAATATTTTTTAGAAATCATTAAAGAAGCAAACCAAGTAAAAGTCCTAAGGCCTGTTTCAAACGAAAGCCTTAGCCAGTCTGCCAGTCAGGAGTTACAGATGTTCTTGGTTGACTTCCAGTGGGTGTGAGAATGGCGTCCCTGATAAATGGAAAGCCACAATCAAGTATCAGGCTATTAATGTGGGCCAAAGTTTTGACTTTATGTGGTTCTAAAGTACAAGCTTTCAGATTGTTTTTGTTTAATTGATGATCCTGGAGGTATAACAAACTAAGCAACATGAAATGGCTAAATACTGTATGTCCTATTATAACTTGTCCTGGATGTATTTACCATTAAAATTGTACTCTGTTCTTTTACTTGCATTAAACCCCCATTGCTGTAGTGTGCTGTTAATTGCATGACAAAGCAATGTAAACTACAGGCATCTGGGCTGTATGTGTGCACTTGTCATGTTATATATGATATTGCTGTATAGAAATGAACTGTTATAATTGTAAAATACTTTTTTAGACAGTAATAAGCTCATTTGTTTTTATGAATGGGAACATTCTATTTAGATTACTTTCAGAAAATTTAATTAAACAATATCATGTGAAATTTAGTACAAACTAAAGTGATCAGACGTTATATTTGTGTTTTTTTTTTTGTTATCTGCAGGGCCACTATAAGAGAGACCATATTAAACACATTACTACACAAAAACCAGTGAACCAGTTATCAAATTAATTCTGTTCTACTATAGTGCAACAAAGATTCAATGCATAGAAAAATATTTTTCTAGGTTCATAATCTTATATCATTACAGCATACCAAGAAAGAAATTGTCAAGACTCTTTATTGTAAAATAACATTTTTTTTTTCAAAGTAAAAACACATCTAGTAATCTACTGTAAATCTTTTTGGAAATCATAGAACCTATTCCCTGTAGTGTGGTGTGAACCAGAAAGTAAGAAAAGCTTTTTGTCTAAACAGGTCATAATTGTTCTTCAAATTTATAATGTTGGAAAACAAAAGTAAATGCAAAACCTCTAGAGAATGTGTCTAAATCTGGTGTTCTTGTATAGTTAATTTTCCCAGGAATTTGAGAGAATGAGTAGTTAAATTGATCGGCAGAGTGGTGTGGATTTCAGTCTTCCTGCCTCTCAGCTCTTGACCAAAGTCCTGAAATCGTAGGTTTGAATCCAAACTGCAAGACCTTCTGTGTGGAGTTTGCATGTTCTTCTTGTGTCTGTGTGGGCTTTTGCCGAGTGCTCCATTCTGCCCCCCTCCCTCCCAAAAACATGCTGGCTGGGTTTAATCAGTGTCTCTAAATTGTCCCTGTTTGTTTATGTGTGTGTGTCCTCTGTGATGGGCAGCCATCTTTTCCAGGGTTTAGTCCCTGCTTTCTGAATATGCTCCAAGACATAAACATTATCCAAAAAGAGTCTTTTTCTTTACTCTCAAAATGATTTTCTTTCATTTTCAACTGTGTGTCTGAACGTTTTGTTGTCCTTTTGTGCTGCCATTGCAGGGTTTTGACAGGGGAACAAAACAGCAGTTTCCCAATTTCAGCAGTTTTATCTCAACCGTAAACAGGAGGAGAGAAGTGGTGAGCAGCCGAAATTTCTCAGCGCAACTTGTTATCCCCAACGGAAAGCCTGGTAGGTCACATTCTTCAGCTCCTTAGGGCCCATCCCTGCCGTGTTCCTGTGGAGCGTTACGACACTGCTTGCCAGAACCACTGCCTTGAGAAACCCTGACACATTTGAAATGCCCCTGGAGAAATATATATCCATTCAGTCAATAACTGGTCACAATGATCCTGTTATCCCATCTTTATTACAGAGAAGCTGTTTCGAACTATGTCATAGACCGTTTTCTCTGATAACCACATCACAGACTTTGCACATGCTACAAACATCTGTCTCTTAAAATTCTTAACATGCGTGTGTTTTGGAAAAAGGTACGAAAGGATGATCTCCCATAAAAGATTACAGGCTTTAGGCTCTCAAAAAGAACTGTTGCTGTAAATGCACACTGAATCTTAGGACCCATTTCCCTCTGTGCTCATTTACTAGAGAACGGCTACCAGGCAATGTATGTATTTTTAAGTCCTTAAAAACAAGTTAAGTACAATTCATGCCACATCTAGTCTTAATGTCATAATTTCAGTGATTATTTCAAAATCATATTGTTTTAAAATACCATTTGGAGAATTGTATTAACTATAATTGCTAACTACTTTTTTTGTTTATTTAAAGTGAATTGGATGTGGCTATATGCAGTAAATTGGATGCACAAAATGCCAGTTGTCATACAGCGGATCTGAATTTGTTGTTTCATCAATGCCAAAATAAGATATTCAAACCATCTTTCAAATTAGAGCCTTATGTTAGTTCTTATTCATAGTTAAAGCTCAGAGCACAGTAGCATGATGTCATAAATAGAATGTTTCCTAGCTATAAGCACATTTAGATGTATTTATATTTTCTTGATGAAGTTGCCCCTGTAATTTCTTAGTCCTTTGGATAATGTTTTATTTCTATTTTGTGCTTCTGCCAAGTGCTTTGGCAAATAATCAGTATGGGTCAAAAATTGAATAAAAGACTTGAGTTAAAAGACTGAGACAAGTCATTGCCAAAATGGTGATTAGCAGTTTTGTTACACAGCTCCAGAATCCCGGGTTTGATACTGGCTTGGGGCCTGTCTGTGTGGAGTCTGCATGCTAGTCCTATGTTTCTGTGGTTGTGCTGTTTTCCTCCTTTTCCCAAAGACCTGCCGCTATGGGGTTTTGGACTACTGCCTCACAGTTTCTCGGTCCTGGGTTCCATTCCAGCCTGGAGCTCCTGTCTGTGTGGAGTTTGCTGGTCAGGGTTGATGGTTTCTTCCTAAATGATCCCTTTCCAGAGGGGTTTCAAGGAGACTTCATACCTGAGGGCAGGACGGGGAAGTTGTTCCCAGTATAACCGGTACTGGCTATAGGACTTTAGAGAAACAGAGCCACATGAGCACAACAGATCATTTGATGAAACAGACTTTCTAACGGCATCTCATTAGGTACAGAAGTGATTTCCTTCATGAGCTGATTTGCAGAGCTGTTTAACGGAGGAAAAACACTTAATAAGTAATTTGCTTTTCATTTTGCATTTGGCATATACTGTAGTGTCAATCAGGAACACAAACTAAGATTTGATCATTTCAGTCTTAGGACAAACAAAAAAAAATACATTATATTTCTCAGGAGCTTCAAAGGTGGTGTTGTAATTGTGGTAATTATGACTCAATTGAATTTCAAAGTATCTCATTCACCTACTTTGAATTCATTTGTGCTGCTGTATGAACCAGATGTTTGGTTTTCTTTTTCATGTAGATGAAAGAGGTTGTGTTTAAGATTCATGTAATAACAATGATCTATAAAGATGAAGGCTTTTGGCGTTCCTGTTTTCCTTACTTCAGCTTCCCAGGTTGAAAACTAGATCTAGCTGAATCAAGCTGTGGATGCTGTAAGGTTTAATAATTAAGCTCTGTTATGTGCTCTAAGCAGTATTTCCCAGCATGTCATAAGCTGTGGCACAGTGTACTAAGAGCAAATCATTTTATCAAGTTCTAATCTAAAAAGTACAACATTTGTGGTTTACACATTTAAAGCCTTTTCCCTTGGAGAGAAACATACACTTTTCCGCTTGCCAGTGATGTAGGGACTTCTGTTATAAAGCTTTCCAAGTTGAATTATTGAATCAGATGTTAAACTGATACTGCATGTCATGTTTGCTGAAGGACAGACTTGATTGTCAGGTGTTCTCTGGTATCGGTGTAGACAGCTCATTGGCTCTTCTGAAAGGCTGTCATTGTTCCTGCTGTCTGGTCTGTGCAGCCTGCAGCTGTTCTCTACTGAAGATGTTTCCATGACAACATGAGTACCTCATTCTTCCAGGTTGTGCCGTTGTAATTTAAAGAGAGTCCCGGTTTTGCTACAGTACATGTTGTACTCGGCTTTATAAATGAGTCTTAGTGTTAACATTTTTTTTAATTATAAAAACTTTTTATAGCGCTATGTCCTCATATCACGGGTTAAAAATGGCTAAACCGAACTGCTTTTTAGCTGAACCAAAGTAATAGTTTAAAAAGTAAAAAAATATATAGTGCCGATTTCAGAAGACCTTGACTTAGATCACCACTAGTACTATGTTTGTAGGTTACCATACTGTAAAAAAAAGTCATAATGTGGTCTTTGTTTTTTATTGGAGTGAGAGAGCTGCCACCTATCCGACAGAAACATCGGATCTCCATAGACACACTTCCTCCAGAGGTGAAGGCCCCTGTTCCCCCTGAGCCCATCATTCCCCTCCGCACAAAAACCGTAAAGGAATTCCAGTGAGTGCTATTACTCATTTATTATGCGCAGTGTATGGCAGAGTTTTGGAAGTTGTAAGATTGGGAAAGTTATGATTGTGTTAGTTTTGAGTTTCTTAACTTAACGTTTTGACTGTAGTTTTGTCTTTGGTTACATTCCTACAGTACATGTTCTGCTGAAAATATGTCTTCTATTTCAATGCATATACAGTATTTAAATTGTGACATCCCTTTTTATTTCCAAAACAAGATCAACCTTACTTTTCAGCTCCTCCAGTTTAGGACTGAACCTGAAGTGGATTTTTTTGTGTTGTTGTTGTTGTTGTTGTTTTTGTTATTACTACAGACGGTTAACATTGCCATAGCCTTTGAGGGTTTTCTTTCTAGTTTTCTCTGTTGAAGAATATAAGGATTCAGATGCCTATCACTACTGGATATCCCTTTGAGCCTGGAGTGTACTGTACCTGGTAACAGGTTTACTCCAGAGCAGCAATGTGTTGTTTATTTTATGGTTACTGAAACTGAACACAGTATTATACATTAGGTTTTACGGATGAATTGTAATCTTTTAAATAACCTCTTGATTTTGCTTGATCCTATGGAAATTTGCAGAATATGTATACTTGCAACTTGGATTTAATGTATATTCTGCAATGTGTTTTTAAGAATGACATTTTTAGATTTATACAAATTTTTTATGGCAATATTTTGGCTTTATTTCTGATCAGGAGTCCCCTTGCAATGTTAACTAACTGTAAAACAAAGGAATATACTTTACCTATCATTTTAAAACACAGTTACAAAATAGCCTTTATTCTTTCTAATATAAAACCCTTCTCAGGACTGAATTACTTCTTAAACAGATGCTTAACAAATGAAAACCATTTTCCCATTCCAAACAGTCCATTACTGAACAAGTGAAAGTCAACAGTCCTTTTCAAATAGCTGTAGAGTCGGTCTCTTTGGTGATCAGATTTCCTGGAATTATCTGTTCTTTGATGTCTATAATAGGAAAAAGGCAAAGATTCCTAAGAGAAATGCTTCTCCTGTCTTCCTCTTCCTCTGGTACTAGATTACTCTGTATTTCGTTCTTCCTGTTTCTTTGTAGACTTTTTTATCCTTTCCTGAGACCTTCTTTTCCTGCATCTCTTACCCCATGAAGGCTGACTAAATAATTTGTGAACAACTGGTTTAGTCGTAGTTACACATTAGTAAAATTGCTATTTGTACTTCTTCAGATACATAATAAAAGGATGCTCATTATTTTAAATTAAAAGAATCAGGCATTTTGATGTTAAATGCAAACATGTTGTTCCCTGCCAGCATGTAACACTACACTTGAAGAGGTGTAAGTTAAAGCCAACTGACCTCTCTCGTTTTCTAAATGTGATTAAAAGTCTTTGAATTGAATGTACTCTGTTCTAGGGAGGACATTGAAAAGGCGATGAGTTCTGGGGACTGGAAATCAGTACACGATTTCTACGTGACTACCTTTGACTCTTTCTTGGAACTGAATGCTGCCTTTAAGGTACATAAAACTTGAGTTGGCTTCTGTAAGAACTGAAATGTTGACTCACCCTCCAATTTTAAAGATTAATTGCTTTCTGAATATGGAGGTCTGAGTCTCAATGAACAAAGGCATTCATAACATCTGGAAAGTAGCAACTAATCATGATATATCGTGCAGAGATTGATAAGGAGCTCTGATTCAGGAATGCCTGCATTTGTGGCTGTTAATTATGTGTGATTTAGGAACATGTGGTGTGACTGTTTTGGTCCTCTTCTTCGCGGAGCTGGATGAAATTGAAACTGTGACAGTCCTATGCCATTTTCATAGAAAAAAAACTTCTTGAGTCTTCTTGAGCTTAGTTGCATTAGATGCCAAATAATTTAAGTACGCGAGTGGCAAATATACTGCAAAGACTATGTAATAGTTGGAATGTAAGATAACAGTTTTAATTAATGTGGACTGTTTTACTAATAATTAAATGCAGAACATACTTCGGTAGTCTAAAACGGGTCTTTTTTCTAGAATATCCAGGAAAAAATAATCCTTTTTACAAACATATGTCTTGTATTTTCTTACAGAAAGATCCAAATGCTCCATTTAACACTATTGAAGATCCAGGAATTAATACCAGATTTGTAAATGCTGTTTACGATGCCTTACTCAATACAGTAAGTATACAAGTGATTCAACTGAAGTTTATGGCAGAATTTAAATCACTGTGTTGATCACTTTGGTCCTTGTGACACTGTTTATAATTTCTGTACTGAGATATTTCAGGAAAAGTGTTTCTTTTTCTAATGTGTCTTATTTTTAATATTATGTCAAATCATTTTATTTAAATATGTTTATTTAAATTTTTCATTAAAATGACATGTAACTAGATGCATTTTTTTACTTTGAAGTTAGCTCGGCCTTCAGAATTTTACCTTATTGTGCTGCTTTAACATTTTTTCTTTTTTAACTTCTTGTAGCCACAAGACATTCAAAAGTCAGTGCTGAAAGGAATAATTAACAGTTTATTAAGAGAATGGAAAGGGTGAGTTTTAAATGTTGCACCATCTCTTTTAAAAATGAAAAGTGTAATTTGCTTATTATATTTGATTGTGTATTGTTCATTTTAAGTTAAAGGTGATCTGTGAAGTTGAGAAGAGATTTTACAGAAGTCATGTTGGTAATATAACTGTTAATTCAGTTCAGATGAAGGTGAATTATACAGCCTGTTTGAGCCCCTAAATGTACAGGTGTCCCACCCAGAGTCCTGCCTTTCACCCTCTGCTTCTACTAACTAAAAAGTTATTTTAAAATATAATCTTAAAATAAAAAGATAAGATAAAGAAAAAGAGAAGGCAGTACGAAGAAATGTATTGTTCAGTAACTTTTTAAATTATTTTTCATTATCTAAAAATTACCTGTCCTATAAACAGCAACCTTTTCTCTTGATTCAAGTAAGACTAGGCTTCATTCTTGCATACCAGTTACACACCTTTTTCAATGATTAACATTTGCCTCCAGCTTGCTGCAGTTATTTTCCATCTGTTTTTCTTGTGAAAAGCAGAAGGTTTGTGACATTGAGGAGTCCTGTAAACTGCTGGTTCAAATGTTGGCTATAGTAACGTTTATAGATGGTGTCGGGCAAAAGAACGTGTTCAGTTCCGTCACTTGGTTTCTTGTGTCTTTGTTGTTAGACCACGAACAAAAGATGACCTAAGGGCTTACTTCATACTTCTCCAGGTAATCTTAAAAATAAACTAGCATTTCTAGCCACGGATACGTTGATTCTAGAAAATAACAAATTTTCAAAAACCATCTTGTGAAAAGAATGATAAGTTATGATGCAACTTATCATACTTTTCATAAAAAACATCAGTACACTTAATCTTCTCTGGGAATGTAATTCTGTGTACTTTTGGCTAGCCGACCTCTCCAGGCAATTTGTTTTAATTCTGAATGTTGTTAATGTTCAGTGGTGCTATGCTAATGGTTACACCCATGTTTCACTTGCGGCTGGTTATGTGCCAGCTGGACAACTCAATGTAACAGAGCAGAAACAAACCTGATGGGAAAGTTACTACTGATAAACCAACTGCATACCTGAATGAAATAGAAAAAAATCGCATTTTTATGACTAAAGGTTCAAGCAAGCCTTTTGTCCTAAAAAGTGTTTATCAAAATATAATACAGTTAAGTCCTTTTAAAACTCATCTGTGCATTTTTATATTATGCAGAATCCCCAGTATACAAGCACATCCACATATGTCATATATGCACACCTGCTGAGGCAAATGGCATCTTTGGCTGAGGCAGATCATCATTTCTTGGTTCACTGGTTTAAGAAGTAAGACAAGTTATATTTGCTTTGCCTTGTACAGGTTTAACATTGTCAGTCGCCATCAATTTTAACTCTCAGATAAATGTCAGATTCTGAATACTATGGCTGTAAGACATCCTGTGATTTCAGTTGTCAAAAGATATGTAATGATATGTAAACTGACTTTGGGGTCTTTAAAAACTTCACAGTAAAATATTGATAATAGACAAAAATGTTTTTGAGTTTTGCATTTTAAAAACAAAATTACGTTAGAGGTAAATCTTCAAGTTGGTTAATTTCATGATGCAACAGACTATTTCAACCAGTAGTAAAATAAATTAGCACTAAGTACTAAATGTTCACTTATGGTTATAAACTGTAGTATTCATACAATTTGCACGTATTTCATTGCTACATAAGTAAACTGCTGTTCAAACCATTTAATGTAAATCTGAACACGTTTGCTCAATTAAGCTTTTTCCAGTTGAGAATATAATCAAAGGAAAACTATCTTCTATGTTGCTGTTTCTGGGGGGGGGGTAAGAGGCTGATTTCCTAGCCTGTTGCCATGTTGTGTGCCCCAGGCTGTCGCAGAGGAGGTTCAAGCAGCTGGTGGACAGGCTCCTCCAGTTTATTTCCCTGCGTCTCTTCCCTGCCAAGCCTGACGAGCTGCCCTCCATGGTAAAGTGTGCCTGGTGGATTCCTTCAGCAACCAGAGTCCTCTCTTTGCTCAGTGAGTGTCTGGATTGTTATCAGAACCAGTGCCTGTTCTGCTCTTCTTGGAGAAGTAAAGTATATTTACACTACATGCATGTCCTGAAGCACATAAAAAAAAATACAGTAGTGTCTTGACATTCACAAGGCTTTGGTGCAGAGAACTGTCACGAATAGCCAAATTCGCATATAACCAGTCGATCCCTATACCGTTGCATAATGTCCTACAGTATGTAGTACAGTCTGTATGGTTAAGAGACATGAGTGAACCTCCGTTATGTGAATATTAAAGCCAATGCGTTAGTACTTTAAGCTGATTTGAATAACATTGTCAACTAAAAGAAACAACAGTAATCACAGTATAGTAATCAGATAAAATAAATCACTCCTCTGTATCCAGTGGATGCCCGCACTTTCTCTCTCTGCCTTTATGATTAGGACACCTTACTATAATGACACAGGCAATAAAATTGTCATTCAGGCTGTAAAGTCGTCTTCAGTTTGTCTTTCACCACACCTCCAGCTCAGAACTGGGAGTGTTTATTACAATACACCAACAAGACCAAATACTTTGATAGGCAGCTGGGAGAGGATCAGTCACTGCTTAGATTTGTGGCACAATCCTATTCTGTTGCACTGCTAAATTGAAAGCTGCAGTTAACAGCCTTTTGCTTGGCTTCATACTCCTCTACTCTTTCCTTCATACAAGACCTGTCAGCCAGACTGAATCGCCAATTTACAAATGTTAAATTTGCAGATGTCTAAAAGCCTACTCTACTTGAGCATGCATGGAGTAGAGCTGATTTACTTTAATAGTGTCCCTCTTATCTTATCTCTTTATCTTATACATTGCTATGTGTACAACTATTCTACCAACACACACAGAACAAATATACCTGTAGGTATAGGTCCTGTAGCATACACGTTGCTGTTCAGGATACTTAATCCATCTGGTTTTCTGTGCCTCTTAATTTATTAATAATTCTTCACCTTGGAGAAGAGTTCAAAACTTGGTATGTGAATTCATATTGTTTTTGTCAGGAAGACTGTCACCAGCTTTGCAGCTGCTGTAGAACAAAAGACACTATATAGGCTGATTGATGTTTTACTTTTGCCATTCTCTTCAAATGCCCCCAGTTTTCGGTTATTTTAAGATGCTCTAGACCATGCAGCATAACCGCTTCCTTAAAATTGAGTTTGTTTCTGTTTTTTCAGATGCCGCAAATACCATTTCTAATCCTCCACTTATCCCCTTCACGGATTTCTATAACTCATCCCTGGACCACATTGACATCATGGAAGACTATCAGACTTGGCAGTGCTATGGAAATTCACAAAGGTGAGCAAAAAAGAAAAAACAATAAAACCTGCAGGTTATCATCTACTCAGTCTTTTTATCTTTCATGTTTTTTTTAAAAGGTAGAATGATAGTGCCCTCTGGTGTTCTTAATGTTGCATGATCTGTAAAAAGGGAATTGTTCAAATGAAAAAATGTTTGAAGTAATTTTTTTCTGTGTATTATGTAAACATATGTATAGAATATTGTTGTCAGAATTGGAACTGTGATGTTTAACCATTAAATAACCAAAGACTGCAAAATAACAGTTTTTGTTCTTCTCTATAAAGCAAAATCAAATGAATGACAATAAAACGTTGTTTTGCAACTGAGCACATTACTGCATTTGATTCCCTGGTATTTTTCTCTTCCACTAGGTTCTCTTTCTGCCAGTTCCCTTTTATTCTCTCTATAGGGGCTAAGAAAATGGTCATCCAAAGAGATTCTGAGCAGCAGATGATAAGCTTAGCCAGGGTGAGTGGCCATCAAATATCGGGTATATCAGGGATCCTTTACCTGTGGCTGTTCCAGTCCACTTCTGCACATTGATGCAACCTGCTCCTTAATTGTCGAATTCTTGCTAATCATTCCTTCAACAATTCAGGAGCTGGCTGGAGAAAAATTGTGGAGTGGCTTTGAAGGTCTGCACATTGCGTGTGCAGAGAGAAAATTTTATTTCTGTATTTCCAGATAGAATGAAATGGTTGATGAATTGTAAAATTGTTTATGACCAACAGCAATGTAAATAATCTGTGAAGTCTGTATAATTCACATTTTGTTTATCCCCTTACTGCATTTCAAGAGTGGAAGGTCTGGCCAGTTGCGTAAATTGGAGTTCCCTCAATCCTGGTCTTGGAGATTCCGAATCCACAGCTTATAAATTGCCCTGATTCACCTCTTTCTTTGAATAGACAGTATAAAGGCCCTAATCTGAATGTATTTTTTATTAATGTCATGTGTACTATACTGTACAACCTGTTCCAGGCTGATTTGTTGTTCACCCAGAGAAACATCTGCAGCAGCTGGTGCACACTGCCAGATCAATTCTGCCTGATACACAGAGTTAAACATTCTGATATATTTCACTTATTTCAGCAAAGCCTTGTGGACAAAGTGTCTCGCAGGCAGAGAGTTGACATGAACCTGCTATTTCTCAACATCAAAGTACGACGATTGCAGCTAGTTAGAGACTCACTGGATGAGGTAACATCTTTACTTTCAATTAAACTCTTTTGCTCTTGAAGTTACTTTTGAATAGTCGGCTTACTTTACTGCTGAACAATCTTCACTTTAATCTAAACATTTAAATTTGTTAAACATGCAGTAATCTAAAAATAACACTAGTGTTATTTGTTAATAGAACTCTGCTTCCTTTCTGCACAATTGTGACCTAGTACTTAGAAATATATGGACATGTTCCAACTACTTGTCTGTGTTTCATGTTCTCATTTTTTTTAATGTTTAAACTATAAAATCATTTAGATAGCTTATAAGAACATCATGACATTTTGGAATTTTTTTTCCAGTTAAACACCATCTGTGTTGTGTTCGCTTGTTAGAATTTGTAAATGTTGCTGCTTAATTTGGAAATCAAGATTTAAATTAATTGTTTAACCTTTTTCAGCTATCAAGAAAAAGGGCGGATTTAAAGAAGAAGCTGAAAGTTACCTTTGTGGGAGAAGCAGGTTTAGACATGGGTGGCTTGACAAAGGAGTGGTTTCTCCTGCTGATTCGACAGATTTTCCACACAGACTATGGTGAGACCGATGAAATACACACATGCAGTAATCTCTGTGTGGCCCAGAGTCAGTGATTACACTATAGACACATGGAGAAAACTCCTTCCTGAAGCAGCAGGAAAGGTTTTGCAAAAGATATTGGAAATACACTTGTTAGTGAATTATTTTGATGTAGTAAGGGCAATCCTGTTTGCTGTTCAAGGTAGTAATGAATGAATTGCTAAAAAAAATTGAAAGTGGGATTCTAATGTCTCCACGGTTGCTTTTAGATAAAAAGTTGCCTTTTCTTATCTGAGATGTTCGTGACCTAATAATTTGCCTGCTTTTAAGTAAATTCAAAAGTGAAAGCGTATTTTTAAATCTAAATTGCTTAACCTTTCTGTTTTGTTTTATTTAAACCCTTTTTAATTGTGTTACAGGTATGTTTACATACCTGAAGGACTCCCACTATCACTGGTTTAGTAACTGGAAGTGTGACAACTACTCTGAATTTCGACTGGTAGGAACTGTATCCTTTAATGATGGATAAGGAGTGATGTTTATAGTATGTCAATTACATTTCTTATGAATTTCACTACATGGTAAAATACACAGAATAACATAGAGACATATCTATAATGAGAGCAAGCATTTATTTAATGGCCATTTAATTTTATTTGTGATGTAAATGCATAAACTACTGCATTACAGTGATAGTAGCTAGCAGGACACAATTCAAGTTTTATAAATCATTTGTTTATCACAATCTTTAAAGGCCTTTGCTATATACTGTATATATCGGTACTTGAAAATGTGTTGGGTTTCTCTGCTTGTGTTTATTACAATTTGAATGAAGTACCGTCTATTTGACAGAATAGGAAAAGGCAAGAAAAATATTTTGAGACCATTTAAGTGCACCTGAGTATTTTCTTAAGTTTTGGGCAATTGCTAAATTACTTTTTATTGTTGTTGTAATTGGATTTCGTATAAAAATGGGACAGTTATAAAGGGTAAAAGTAGATTCCCTAAATCAGAAAAAGGATTAAACCAATTTCAGTTTGTTTTTTTACAGAAATCTGCAGTGAATATTTTGCACAACAATTTGGCTCGAGTGTGGCAAAGGCGAGCCTGTGTAAAAAAGGGAGTTTGAATGCTCACCAAGAGGAAACCTCAGTTTAGGAGCAGCTGTCCTGCCTTTCCTCAGGGTGTGGAGCAGCTGAGAGATGAGTGTCAGAGTGACTGCGTTTGTTAAATACAAGAATGATTCTTTAGAACACGAAAGAAAACTAAAACGTGGCATCAGAGAGGGAAGCCTAATACAGTGAATAAAATTTGACACTATAAGAAAAAGTCTAGTTGTTCAGGAAATGATCAGGGCATAAGCACTCCAGTCTCTCTACACTGAAATACCAGAAAAAATATCTGCCAAATCAAATCCCCAGGTTTTTCAGAAGACTTTAACTGTTTGTGCTGTACTTTTTAAATTATTTAATTGTGCTCCTGATTTAACAGAAGCACATACAGAATTTTTCTTAAATTGAGTTTCTGATTATTTCTGATCCACCTGTTTTATTTTCTTTTCTTGTTTGGCATGATATGAAAAAATGAAGCTTATCGCAATTTGTTAAAATCAGACTTTGTATAAAGCCAGCTGGCTTAAAACCAGAATTCCCTCTCAGTGATATCCCATGAGTGCCTTACTAGATATATGAAAAACCCAGATCTCCAGGCCTGTCTGACACGGTGACAGCAGATGTGGCTCAGCCCTGGAGCTGCCTTGTGTAATCACTTTTGCACAAGCCTTTGGGATTCAAGCTCTGCGCTACATCTGCGCTACATCCCAGTGCAAAATCTCTTCTCATAAAGTTTGCTAATCAGTTCAGTATTGCTTCTGATAACCTGTAAATTCAAATGCCTTATACTATGAAAGTGCTATGTAACAAGTCCTGCTTCATAGAATCCTGCGTGTGGTTTGAATTGTAATATAAGCTGTCTGCTCTGATGGAGGTTTTTAATTTGCCTGGTTGGTCCACGTTCCTGTGGTTTGCTTGGCTTTTTTTATTACATCACTTCAGTCCTCATGGAATTTTCCTTCGGTCTGCAACAATGTATTTATAGAACGGTATATTAGAGCACAGCCAGTACCCTCAGCACCTCAGCTGTGTAGTTTTAAGTGCTTCCAGTGCAAGATACCTGCATGTGGCTGACAAAAATACTGCAGCTGCTTGCATTTTACAGAGGGCCCTTCTTCAGATCCAGTAGACGTCATGCAATTATTTCAATATATTGTATACATGCTCAGGAGAAATAAGTTATTAATCCAACCCAATTAAAAGTCAGCAGAACCATTTATTAATTGATGCAAGCACAATAGGTTTCACCACGTGGACTTCAACATAACAACAAACTTTCCTGGCAGCATCTCAGTTGCCACAAAAAAGTGATTTGTGTATGAACACAAAGCAAAAACTATACAGTATATCAGAATTGAAAATCATTACTTGTTTACACCCTTACATGGAAGTTTTGTGTTTATGCTTTAAAATCTGTCTGACTTTATTTTTTCTACCACAAAATTGGATTCATACCAGGTAATCGTCTTCCTGGTATTGTTCTTAACAAGTGCTGCTTGTAGCTGATGGGTCTGGCTGTGTATAATAGCATCACCCTGGACATCAAGTTTCCCCCGTGCTGCTACAAGAAGCTGCTGAGTCCTCCCATAGTGCCTTGCGACCAGAACACTCCTGTGGGAATTGCTGCTCTCACCCTGAATGACCTGCAGCAGATAATGCCTGTAAGTGCAATATGCAGAGAGCCCTTCAGCATTTAGCTGGGTTCATTGTAAACGTTTTTCTTTTATTGGAATTTTGAAATGGCTGTATATTTTTCATCTTGTACCTCAATAAGTTGGGAGTTTCAAGAGGTCTGTCTGCTCTAACCTTCCTACCGGCAAGGGGACTACATGCAGGTTTCCACAGTGACCCACAGGGCTCACAACTGCGCTCCAGCATGTGTGCAGCAGTGTGTTCAGCCCAGCCACCTCAGCATGCCACTGTGTGGGGAATGCTGGTCTCATTGGGAAATGACACAACCCATTCTTAGACCTGCAATGTCCAGACTTCTACTTTCCAAGCAAGTGCCTTTCAATGACTAAGCCACCTTGGAGCTCCTGTCAAGTATGTTTGCTGATTTGGATGTGACACTTTTATCCAAGGAAACTGACATTTGCACCCATTTATACAAATGTATATTTTTACTGCAGCTGTTTGGGTAGAATACCTTGCTTTGGTTGAAATTGCCTTGCTTTAACATCTCGCACTGAAACATGGGACAATGAGCAACTCTCAGGCTATTTAGCAAGCATGTTTGAACCATGTGCTTTGAGGCAGAAAAAAGTTTGACCAGAGAGACATATAATCCTTACTGAGATGGCAAACTCAATACTATAATTAAGTTAATTTGAAAAGGTACTTAAGAGCTTAAAGGGCTTAAACGCAATTATGTTTTGCTTAGAGAGGAAAAGGAACCTTTTCAATATGTTAGAGTAGTACTCGTTGAAAGTGGTGTAAAAAAACATAACAGTATAGCTTTAATTATTCAGCTCACAACATCTAATTACTGTAATTTTATATAGCAGGCAGGAAAACATTTGAGATGCTCTCTGAGTAAGATTTCTCACAGATGTCTTTCTTAGCCTTGCCAAGAGCTCAGACTTACAGTAGGTGTAAAATGCCGTTTCATTTATATCATATCCAAAGTCAACATCCATTTCAAACCTCTTTATCATTACTCAGTTGAAGTGGCCAAGAAATCCATCTGTCAAGAATGGTATAATTATTGAGTATTATATAGACTGATCTTATAGTGAATGGAAACAGTTTATGCTGCTTTTGTTCTGCAACAAATGCATCGCTCTGGTTTTCTCTCACCTTCCTCAAGTCTTCTGAATGAAGGTTATACAAAACATGTTTGTTTTCTCAAATGGCAGGGCACTATGTGGATTGCCATCTGTTAGGGAAAGGCCTTTTTGCTGAGCCAGCATGTTGAGATAATTGGGATGTGTGATAATTAGTCTATGCTTGGAGATCTGAATGCTAAACCGTTCTTTAATCTGGTTACACTAGAGGTTTATTTCTTATTTTTCAGCTTATCTTGGGTCATCTGATGCAGCTGTGGAACCTACAGTAGTTATAAGGATAGAATCACATGGTGTTGTGCCACCAGGGGTCTCTCTAGTTAAGCTTTTATAATCCTGTAGACAAGGACTTCATTGAAGTCATTTAATACACTCATAAAACAGAGACAATACTTTGTTACCAAATGTTTGTAAATGGAGTCCCTTTAATGTTTTTTATTAAAGATAATAATTCAGAAATTCATTTAACTACATAAAACCATACATTTCAGATCAGTGACATTAGGCTTCGGAGTGTATTTTCAGTTCTGCTAGATAATCTGCTTCATGGGAATTGGGCATACTTTAGGGCGTTGCTTTCTTCCTCTTGCTTGCATTAGGAAGAACATTTTCCTCATGTGGTTAGATGAGGAAACTAAGCATTTGTAATTCTCAGGCATTCTGAGATCTTGTTCAGGAGGAAAAATACCGTCTAAAGAAAATAAGGTCCAATTTGTAAGTTTGCTTAAAGATTTGTATATCCATTTTTTTTTGTTAAATTTGTATTCTGCATTCATGATAATACTGTAGATTATTTTATCTGCATGACATAGCAAACACACCCTCTGAACAGACTACCCTAGTCAGAGAAACAAAGTAAAAAGGAGAAATGTTATCATGAACAATGTGAGCTATATAAGACTTTAAGATTTGAACAGTATTTTCTCTTATTCTGTTTTTGTCTGTAATTTCTGTATACAATCTGATGACCTATGAAAACTAATTTACAGTATGATCAAGATACACATTCTTTTCAGATTTTGGCTGGTGTTGCTTTTTAAATATGCATTTTCTATTCCATTAAGAAGTATCTATGTTGTATAATTTTAGGAGCAATACCCACAGGTTTGCCTCAAAAACGAAGGAGGCTATTACTACCTAATACTGAGGCTTGTGTGTTATATCTCTGCTTATCACAGAGCAATTTACCAAAGGAAATTGATTTCCCAGCAGTCACAGCTTTATTAAGTGTTGTCTCCCCCACTTCTCAAGGGCAACTTTCTTGAACTAGTTTATACTTTGTAATGGAGCCTAAAATTGTGATGAGCCCATTTTCAATGTCATCTAATTTTTTTAAAGAAAGTAATCCTTAATGCAAGGCCTCTTTTACACCATCTTTGTATTTCTGGCTCCATTTTAATTGAACTCTGTGTGCTGTTTTAAACAAATGTTAAAAACAAATGTGTCCAAATGTGCCAGACTCTGAATATTTAAAGGACAACAGCATACAAGTTTAGATTAAGATTAATCTGCTCTCCTAGTAGCTCTAGGTATCTATATACGTTTTTAGTTATTTTTTACACGTGAAAACACAGCCTCGCCTGTGTTGAGACAAAAAGATCTTATGAAGACCCACAATGTCACCAGCTGCTATTGTCAATACATGTCTTGTCTTTTGTAAGGATATGTTACTGCTTGTTACTCACCCATAACCACAAATATGAAAAAAAATGTTTAGTATTGGAGATTGCAAGATGAATCTCCAGATTTCAAGTAATGAATTCAAGTATTAAATAATAATATTGCAGTATAGAATTGCATTTTTTTGTTTTTCAATTTTCAGGAGCTTGCTCATGGACTTGAAGAGCTCCTAGCTTACGAAGGCAACGTTGAAGAGGACTTTTATTCAACATTTCAGGTCAGAAATAGAACATTTAATAGAAAAAATGTAATACCTGCAGTTTGTAAAGTTTGTGTCAATAGGCAAAGAACATAAACTCTTTACAGATCCACAGCCTGATGAGGTAAAGAGCTGAGGTATAAAGAATTACAGAGTGTTTCATCCGTGAAATTCTCTCCACATTCTCCAGTGTGGACTGGAATGACGTCAGGTATAAATATTCCCAAAAATATTATGTTTTAAAAGCTTAGGTTTTTTATTTGGAGGAAAACGACAAGACAAGTATTCTGATTTACCATAAATGTGAAGTTTTTTTTTTTAAGTGAATCCCAGAAAAGAAAGTTGGGATAATAGGAATGTGTATTTTCAGGTTTACCAAGAAGAGCTGGGAGTTATAAAATCTTATAACCTCAGACCAGGGGGTGACAAAATTCCTGTTACGAATCAGAACAGGAAAGGTAAGTCTGCTACAGAGCGGCTATCTTGAAAATAAGGAAAAGCCTATTATTTCTAAATTTGCAATCTGTAAAATCTGATTTAGTTTATAATAGCCTGAGAGTTGCCTTTTCATGTCTTGGTCTTTTCCCCAATGAAGAGCTGTTACCTGTATGTTTTATTTGCAGAATACGTTCAGCTGTATATTGATTTCCTGCTCAACAAATCCATTTACAATCAGTTTGCAGCCTTCTATTATGGGTTCCACAGTGTGTGTGCTTCAAATGCCCTGATGGTAAGTATAATTGAAATTGATTTATGGTTGGAATTTTATTCTAAAGAGTTTATATACAAGGGTTCCCTGTGTGAAACCTTTAAAGAAAATTTCAACTTACTTTTTCTATTATAAAATGGAAAGCATTTTGAAAATACAACATTTCAATGTTAGTGACAGTACTTCAATTATTTTTGTTGATAGATTTCAATTAGAAAGTGGTCTAAATGTTATTCAGAATTAGGAGGATTTTACCTCTTAAACAGGTTCTAAGGCAAGTGACAATAATGTAGATACAAGAACAGGCATGCTTTACTTTGCTGTGCATGGGAATGTATTATTAATTGAGATTTGATGTGTTTAAATATATCTCACAATCTTGGAGTCAAATCTGAATATTGATTTGCAAAGCTATAAGTCCGGCTCTAGAAGAAGCACAAAACACTTGATAAAAAACACAACTAGAAGGAAATTAGTCCTTGGTTTGCCATGCAGAGGAAACTTCAACACAAGCCGTGGGTTTTGTTTTTAATTCTGATTGATCTTTTTGCTGAGCTAATGTCTAAATGAATCACGAGCAGCGATAGGAGTGTGGAAAAGCTTCTTCGGAGTGTGCAGGGTCTGAACCGAGCTCCCGAGGGTGGTGCAAATGTGATCACAGGGAACTCTGCTCTTCTGTGCGAATGTCCTTGACTAAGCTTAGCTTGCCCTTGGCCTACTTCCGTGCTCATATAGTATCTGTTTATTGGAGGTTGGTAGGATAATGCGTAGGAAACAACGATAGAAAGTGTAGATTTAAACGTGGTGAAATACTGAGTGGGAGACCCTTCCCGCATTTCAATCAGCCAGCACACAAAGATTCCAGTGTGCTCATACTACGTCTGTTTTGGCAGAGATCGGAGGACTGCTCTGGTAAGAGCAGCGGGGAAGCATCTTTCAGTGTGTCCTTGATCGGGGTCTCTTTGTTTTGCTAGACATCCAGTTTAGTACAATTTAATTTTGTGTCTCGGGGATTCTGCTATTTTGCTTTCATGCTGATACATAACTAAAGCATATATTTCCAAACATGTATCAGTCAATGCTGCACATTAGATGCTTTTTTATAGTGCGTTTTTTCACACCACAGTTATTATTAGTATCAGCTCAGAAATAATGAGCTATGCTTGTCTGTCTGTCCATATATTTGAGAAAGTCTAGCAAGGGTAGCAGACATAGACTTAATATTCAAAAAACATTTTACAGGAATAAAAGAATACTCAGTAACTTCATTCAGTAAGTTAGACCCAGTACAGAACAGACTACGTGTGTGCTTTCTCGGACAATGTAAATCACTGATAGTTGTTAAAGACCCTAACCACAATGTGTTTGTTTTGGTAAAACTCCAGGTTAAATTTATCTGTGACACATTTCTGTTAATATGTGTTAGTTTGCTTTACTGTAGGTTCTGCTGGTTGCAGACAGAGTGAGCTGAAATCTTTTAACAATTAAAAAAAAACATTTCAGTGTTATACAGTTAATTTTTACAGTGCACGTACAAAAGCCTTCTATTTTACTGCACATTGTTTGTGTTTTCGTTCTGTTTTACAAAAGCCAAAAAAATAGGAAACAGAGAGAGTTTAGGTTCCTCCCCCTTGCAACAAGACCTAATTCAGAGACTTTGTGTAGCAAATCTGAATAAACATGAGTTTAGTTGATTGTTTAGCTCCTTAAGTTGTTTTTATAAAAAGAAAATGGAGTGTATTAACTGTATATTTGGCTTAAATATTAAACTTTTTAAATGAAAATACATTTCTTTTCTCTATAAAGTATGTATACATCGTGGAAAAGAGAATTGAGAACCCGGAAAGAAAAATATTTTTTTTAATTCCTCTTTGCTTAACCCCCCTGAACTCCCTGGGCTTCTGACTGCACTATGAAAGCTGACTTAAACTCCACAGCTTCTGTTATTTAACTTGTATTTATCTTTCCACTGCCTGAATAACTAGCTCTGAAGCAGAAACAACTCAGCTCTATGCTCTAGGATTTTCTGAATTTCTTGGTGCCTAGAGGTTTATCTTGCCATGACCACTTGATGAGTTTCTTTTTCAGAAGCCAGCCTTAAAGTTTAGTTAAATTTTAGTTGTTTTATTGTCATATCCTTTTATAGACTAATTTGAGAACAAACACAAAAATATACACAATATATGTGATAGAAAACAATACTAACAAATGTAAGATGGAGGCAGAAACATGTCTTGACCAAGCTGTGGGATCTGTGGCGTTGGATCTTTCCATATTAAGAATTAGGAAAACCCTTGTCTTGCAGTGTTCCTATAGCAATAACACTGCCTGATAAAAGAAGAAGACAACAGGGAAGTTTATCTTTCAGACTCTGTCTTCCAGTGACTACAGGTTGTGGTGGTGTAATATTCACATCACTTTACATAAGCAAACTAAACCGTTCTGTGTTCTGAGTCATCCACATACTGTACCTATCATTTCATCAGCTTTCTTGATTTGCTTTAGGCCAAAGCAACCATTATAGAAATGAACACACACAATAAGTGAGATGGAAAGTTGTGACTGAGAGAAAGATCACTTCAGAATTGGAGGGTTTACATTTTTATTTTCGATTTTAAGTGGTTTTTTTTCTATCTTGCAGTTGCTGAGGCCAGAGGAGGTCGAGATGCTGGTGTGTGGAAGTCCAGACCTAGATATGAGTGCCTTACAGAAAGTCACTCAGTATGAAGGCTACAGCAAGTCAGACCCAACCATTCGGTAAGCACAGCCGTGACTCACTGCGAAGGCATTCAGCTGACTAAACCGCAGAATGATTGCTTACAGTAGTAGTGGTCTTTCTTAGCAGTTTGATGTAGCATTTAAAGAAACATACTCGCATAACAAATATTTTGCCATCCGTCTTTAGTATTAATGGTACCAAAAAGACATGGAAAGGAGCTACAAGTCTGCAAGGATTCATGCTTCTCCTTACAAACAAGTCTTATGCACTAAGACAGAAAGAACTGTTATCGAATGCCAGTAGATTACTGGTGGTCTGTAATCATTTTATGACATAGTTAAATTTAAGAGTACAAGTAACACATTATCAGCTTTTTTATATTAATATAAGCATTTTTAATTGTTGAGAGTAGATTCAAGGAGATTTGAGCTTTAAACAAGTGCTCATTCATCAAATTCTGTTTCCCTTTAAAACCATAAACAATTCTACAGTTCAACTGCATCTTCAGAACAGTATGTTTAATCGGTTTTTACTACAGTTCAGTTGCACTAAATTCCACACCCTGCCAAATATTAGACGTTAAAATGGCTGAAGTAATGTTTTGACCGATGTCCTTGTTTCCTTCAGCTTTTTCTGGGATGTCGTGCTAGGATTCCCCTTGGACCTACAGAAAAAGCTGCTTCATTTTGCCACGGGCAGTGACAGAGTTCCGGTCGGTGGAATGGTTGACCTAAACTTTAAAATCGCTAAGAATGACGTCTCAACTGATTGGTAATTTTTTTAGTTACCATTGTTATGTGAAAGTTTTTCTTAATGTAATTATGGAATATATTACAAGGAAGCTTATTTGTTTATGCAGTTTAAATAATTATCAGAAGACATTTCATTATGTTAAAGCGCAAAGTACTTAGCTTTACATGTAAAAATACCTTTGTCTCCTCTGTGATATTTAGAAAGCAGGACAAACATTCTTTGGGTTTGTCCCTGTGTCAGCTTTGAGAAGGAAGCTGGAATAATTGAATGAATGTCTCTGCAGTAATAGGTTCTGAAGCTTCACAAGGAAGATGTGTATAAATGTAAAAGAACTAATTTGTAAGTAATGGAATGAGGAAAACTATTGTACAGTACTTCACATCCAACTTCATAACATCAGAAGACAAATTTAATTGAGAAAAATATTTTAATGAAACATAATAATGTACTGGTTTTCTGTCTTTTCTTCAGGTTACCGGTATCTCACACTTGTTTTAACCAGATTTGTCTGCCACCATACAAAAGCAAGAAGGAACTGAAACAAAAGTTAACTATCGCTATCTCAAACACAGAAGGGTTTGGCCTGGAGTGACTGCCACCAGCATAAAGCTTGAACTTTCCAGAAACAGATTTTTTATTTTATCCCAGCATTAGAAATGCTATACTCCATTGAAGCTGGGGAAGATTTATAGTGTGTAATAATGTTGTATGTTTTTTAAGTGCCCTTGGAGAGAGATTGAAGCTTCACATAATTATTTAATTGTAGACTACACTGTACACTGAGTAATCACACCAATTACAGGTTTTTGCCCTGTTTTACAGAATAGCTTCTCCTCCACTGTCTACTTGTAAGGAAAAGACAAGGGTTCTTACCAGTCATTTTCACACAACAAATAAAGAGAATGAAGGGGGAGACCTTTTCTAGAAGGGAGATGATGCATAGCTGAAATGATGACCTTCAATTCCTGATTACAGTCTACAGGAATATTGCTTGACACTCCTGTTTACCTCACTAGAGACATGAAGTGTCTCTGGCGAGACTCATAAGCATATTTACAAGAAAACACGTGTGCTTTGGAATGTTAAAAAGTTAGAAGGCAAACAGATAAGAAAACAGAGATTTCATTACATGTAGCCTGTTAGTGAAACTGTCTTTCGACTTTTTAATGCCTCAATAACTTTTTATTTCAAGCTAGTGATTCTAAAATTACTCAGAACCTTAGTGCCTAGTCCTTTGCCTTATCTTTCTTAGTGCAATCAAACAAAATGCTTTTCTGAAAAGGCATTATTCTCCTAAACTTTTATCTATATTCCTTCTTCAATGTTTGAAGTAATGTGCCACAGTAAACAGACTAGGGAACTTTGTTGTTTTTGGAAACAGATGACTAAATCTAGCTTAGACAGGGTTTGGCTCTGTGATAAAATAGTAGACAGACTGTCAGATTTGCTCTGAGGGAAAAACATTTAAATAAATAGGGTTAAAGCCTCCTGGGGGAGGAATAGAGAAATTAATGTAATTTGAACTTGTAGAAAGTGTTTAGTAGACAGAAAATCTCTGCAGGATATCATTTTTATGGTAGAAAGTGATTGCTGTGATTCTTGATACACATTTTAGACAAACAGCTATTTATGCTGAGATTTGTAACATTTTATAAATGAAATGCTTTATACTTTCTAAAATAGACTTTGCTATTATTATGTATGTCTACAAAGTTGTGTCACTTGTGTGTTTTTATTTAAACTTAATAAGAATATTCATAAAACATTTGCTATAAGTAAAGACAGATTTAATATGTGATTTTATCTGTAGAAATGTAATCTTACATACCTCCACCAAGCATCAGTACAATGGTAAAAATGACACTGGTTTGTGCAATGGTTATGTAATATTATTATTACCCGTGACAACATAAGACAGAGTATCTCAATGTTGTATTGTAATTTGTTAAATTGTTTTTTGAACATTAGCAATTTAGGGGTATGTTATGAACAAGCACCTCATGTCATTTTGGTGTTTTAAGTGTTTTTAGGCCTAATAGTAGTTCAATACTACTGTATGTGGTGAATATGTACAGTACATAAGACAGGACAAGGATAATTTTCTGACTCTGAAAAGGTCACTGATTTTTCCTTTCTTTTTTGAAGTGTGAGACAGACTTCCAAACAAAATTATTTTTTCTGTTTTTACTATACACCATTGTTAAAGTTGCTGAAATTTCAGACTTGTTTTTCGTTTTTTCTTCTTTTACAGAAAGATAAGCTGCTTTTTTTAAATAGCTTATCAACATTCATGATTTTGTTTTCAGTTGGCTTAACCATGATATAGACCCTATTTTAATGGGAAGAACCACATTAACAACATGAATCGATTTTATTTCTTGAATAAGTCACAATTTCAAGTAAAACAGAAGGGATTGACAGTAGTCCTAATCAAGTCTGATGGAGTCTAGAGCAGGATACCCTGTCATTTGGTATAAAAAAGGAGGACCATCATCTTATTGAAGAAGTCATTGAGACAGCTTTTTCAGCCTGTTGTATGTACAGCACAGTCATATTCTTGTTAAGAATGGAGTCGATATATGTCAAAGTGTTGTATTTATTATTTATTCTAATTGTATAAGTATTTGTCTCAAACCATTAAATATCAACGTAAAGACAGTTTCACAGGTGCCTTTGTACATGATGGCTCTGTCAAATTTGTTTACAACAACATTCAGTCTTCCATTTGCTAGGACCTGTGAATGTGCAGTAAACCCGAGAGGGTCCATTGGCAACTGAGTATATTTTAAAAACATTAGTTATTGCATTTAATACTTTCCCTGGTTTCCTGTTAAGGGCTCAGTATTTATGTTGCACATATGAGTTTCCATTGAAGGAGGGAAAAAAAAGAGTAACTAATATCAAAAGTTTCTGAACAAATCTACAGTATGAGATACTGCACAATTTTAATCACCATGAAATTTAAATGTGAGCTTTTATATAAGAAAAAATCAACAGGTTCTCACGGTTGAGCACATATCATTTTGACGACAGAATATTGTTTACATCTGAAAACAAGGCTTTTCGACCTGCACTGTCGCTGTTACCACCTTTTCGCATCAACTGCAGAGGACAGCTCTGACCTACCACCCGACAGCCTTTGTCACAAGCGCTTCTGTAAAAGACAGACCCCACGAGAAGGTGCCCAGTGCTTCTGGAAAAGTGCCACACCTATCCGGTAGCTGGCATTTCTAGCTTGGTTTGATACCCGATACTATGATAGAGCGACTGGGTCTTTAAAAGACAGATTACAACTCCTGCTGCTTTATGTGCTGCAACTTTGTCTTATTAGAAGTACACTGGGGTTGGATTAGTCTCTGTGAGAGGACAAAAACTAGTTTTTTTTGTCAATCTTAAAACACTGATTCATGCTTTTAATTCTTAGCATTTTGAAAGACGAACAGCAGAATGGCATTATTTTAAAGATCACTCAACTATTTGGATATATGCTTTCTTTTAAGTTGTATGTTTAAGCACGACTGTGTTTCAATAAATAAGGTAAAAACCTCCCTCTCCCTCCCCACTATGATAATGCATTTATTTGCAAGTAGTTACAGTTGTATAAATGCACGTAGTACAAATGATTTCCAAATAATGCCCAGACCTGTTCAGGCATGTGGCCCGCTGCGACTCCCGCGCAATGAATCCAGCATAGCAGAAATCTAGGTCAGGATTTAACAGCCTGCAGCCCTCAGCCATTGGTTTCAAATTGTCAGCCTGACCAGTGCTTCTTTGAGGAACCAAAGAGAGATTAGTGGGTTGCAGGCCAGAGCAGTGAAATGGGTGGTCCATGGGTGCCTCTTAACCTGTCACTACATACTGTTAATGGGTGTGTAGCCTGGTATTATCATGGACAATGCCGTGATGCAGAAAACCATGTCTTCCTCATCTGGTACAGTGTACAGTGCTTGGCCACATTTGCACTAGGCCTGCCGTCTCTTAACTATCTGACCATCTGCTCCCATTGGCTCATAGCAACGCAGACAGTGGTGCACTTACTGAAATCTGCTCAGGAAGTTGCTCCCAGCCTAATACTCTTGTTACCTTATTTAGTGTAAAAATCCATTTACATTCAAGCCATGCAAGAGAACTGGCCCTTACTTCAATAACTGACTACATGGTAGGAACAGAGGAGTTAAATTATCACAGAGCCAAGAGCCACAGCTTAACTGTTGATAAGCAGGGTAAACAGGCAGTTTCTGTGTGCTTTGGCTGCACATTGTATTATAGCAACACAACTGCCAGTTACCACTTTCACTAGATGTCCAAAATTGTGTACATTGTAAACAGCTCATGGACTAATGTTGCAGCTTCTGTAATGCTGGTTGGGGGTTGGGACATTCAAAAAGGAGGGTCTTTAGGGTGGCAGGACACTGCAGTTGTACCTTTGAGCAACGTTTCTTCACCTAGATTTGTTCTCAATTGTCTTTTCTAGTTCAAAAAAGGACTAAAACTGTACTTAATGTAACCATTGAAACATGAAAGCAAATATGTAAATATATTTTAACAAAACAAGGCTTGAAGTATAGGCGGGAAGTCCAGAAAGCAGTCCAGCCTTGAGCCCTTTTCCTATTTTGCTTGTGTCTTTCTCACAACAGTTGAATTAAAGCATGTAACATGGGATTTAAAAAAGGTCACTTGGATGAAACGTCTATGATATGATGAACCACTGTTTTGTTTTCTTCCAAAAGGGCAAAACATCCTCTGAAATTCTGAATATGAAAGGAATAGATTACATCCAACCATAAACTATTTCATTGCTGTTTTGATCTTTTAATGATTTTGTATGGACCTGAATTTTTAAAACCTTTCCTTATAAATCCAGTATGTTCTAAGCCTACAACAATATTTCAAATGAGCATTACTAAATACTTAATCCCTTCATAATGTCACCTGTTACAGAATTGAAATAGGAATAAGTGCTGAAACACTGTGATAAATAGGTCCCCTTCCAGGCAAGGACTGAAGTCTTTAACCAGACTTTGTCACATAAAACAATATTGTCCTGTAAAGCACTGAACCGAGTATGATAACAGCTTCCATTAACAAAAGGTACCATGTGAAATTAAACAAGGCAAGCTGGCAACTGCATAATGTCACAGAGGCCACAAATTCACGTTTTTTGGAAGAAAGAGGTTTCATAGGAAAATCTAGCAAGGTGCAGTGCCAAATTTACAGTTATATCACACAGTATGAAAAAAATGTTGCATAAGACAGTTGTGAACATTTTTTACCCAAGCCAAAGGAGTAAAGGTTTAGAATGACTATTCATTAAATGCACAAACAATACTTTGTACAGACATTTTGTTAGAATGCTCATATGGCACCAGGCAGTTCTTCTGATTTTGTGGGTACAGATTTGAAGCTGTTGTCTCAAGCTCTGCTTTTCAGTCATTTTTATTTTCTTCTGTTGCCATAAATAATGCTGTTGTTTAATATAATGTTGTTGTTTTCTGTAGTCATAAACATAAGTGTAAATGTCTTACTTTTCTGTGACAGTGACAGAGCCTCACATTGGACAAAGATAATTGTGAATTTCAAACTGGCATTTCAAAAAACAATTCAGCCTTTAACATCACCCTCTTCAGCAACCAGACCTCCTGCCAGTTCTGTTCCTTTGATTACACGTTACAGCTCTGCCATGTTAACTGGAGAAAATGTATTGAAAAGAATCTAGTTCCTATTGGTCAATTCTACTTCTGTGTCTGGGATTCATGCACGGAACACATTGTTTTATTCAATTTTATTTCTACTTTATGCAGTTTCTAAGACAAATTCTGTTTTGTCTTCGATTTTTTCAATGTTGGTATTCCCTTTGGTCGTGTCCCTGCAAAGGAAGGAATTGCTTAAACCATTCCAGTCCCCTTCAAATTACAATATAGTGTAATGGTGTGGCATTGTTAAAGTTATATCTTCTGTTTTAATGGAAAATTGAGGTGGAGACTACTGTCTCCAATCTCCACCACTTATATAAATGTTATCATAGGAGAAAACACAACCTTTACAACAATGATAAGACCCGGAAATATACAGTATCTGTATATATTAGAAAAGTTTGCTCCTTTTTCGAGAAAATCTATGGCAGTGTTGTCTTCATTTAAACACTATTACATGTCAACACTATTGTATTTATAAGAACTCTCAGGGTGCCACTATAAATGTAATTGTAATGTAATCCGTAGTAAAGAATTTATGACATTTTAAAACATTTACAACATTTGCTGAACTTAGACTGAAAGTTCTACAGTACATCTTTTTTTTTTCTGAGATGGAACACAAAGTGTGGATTCCAGTCGAGTGGTCACTTTGCTCGGTTGCTCCTGAGTGCTGCCAGGTTCTTGTTTTCTTCATTTAAAGACCTGGGTGCATCCCTGCACACTCAGCCAGGGTGGTGTGTCATTTCAGAAGACACAAGGAAGAAAGTGTCTGTAGTGACACTGATATGAATGTAAAATGAAACGAAATAGTTCTGACATATCACATCATAATTTCGGAGGTGTGTGGTGAATCTGTCAAACACACTTTATATCACGTTTACCTCCCTACAATAGAAAAAGGCGGTTGTGTACCTGTTGGTCGGGAATTTATAGCAGTTGAAATATTTAAGATGATTGCACCCTGAAAACATCTGCTCACTCTGCCACGCCTTGTTTTGATATGAAAGAGTACAGATCTTTTGATTTCACTGTTTACTTTCCTGTAAAGTTCTTAACTAGCCATTAATTGACCTCAAGATAAAGTTCTTTTGCATGAGTGTGTTGTTTTCGTTTAAAAAAAAAGTAGAGCCTCTCAGCTTAGTAACGTCATTTTGTTTGAAACTGTGCCCATTGAAAATATAGTCTCACTGTTAAGCTAAAGTATTTTTAATTGCCTCTGACTGTACAGTATTCTTCACGCTTTTCATCTGGCTCACTTTTGGATAAAATCAATGGATAGGGCAATATACAAAAAGGTGACCAAAACTGTCTGAAAACTAAAAGTGCAGATAGGAGCAAATTATCACTCATCCTAAAGATAACTGGGG